AGTGGTTTTGTCCAGAAAAATAACTAGGACAACATGAATATATTTATACCTCATATTTTAATATAAGCAAGAAAAATACAAAATATTAACGAAATATTTGTCCCTCGTTTCAAAGCAAGCTAACATAATATTTGGACACTGCAAGATATTCTAACTAATTGAAGATTAACGATAAAAACAAAATAAAAAATATTGAAGGTACAAGTGCTGCAGTGAATAAGTATTGAAAACTTTCATTGTAGTTAAAATATTATAAAACGTACTAAAACTATAATGTCAATATAATTACTTAAAATTGGGGCGTTGGAAGGTAGAAATCAATGCCCACTCGTATAAATCAAAACAGAAAGAAATTATTAAAAGTATTTAAAGTGAGAAGGTAGTGTACATGCAAATAAAAAATGATGAACCGCATCCTTAACGGCCCCCACCTACCATGTCCTGAGCCTTGGTGAAGGAGGTAAATCGCAGGTTATGCCTCCAAGGGTATAGGGTGGAAGGCTACTTGTACACTTACACTTACCAAAGGGCTAAATCCATATTTTAGGATTCGAACCCTTAACGCGGCAACTTCAAGCAAAGTTGGTGTACATGCAAATAAAAACATGAGCTCGGGTGTAAACAATCATTTTTTTCACCTCATTTTGGTGCTAGATTATTACAAAATCTATGACTCCTTCATAAAAAATAAAAATAAAAATAAATCCAAAATTTCAAAAGGGTCCATCACATCATCTTAAAATATTTTTATAGAAAGTTTAGGGCATATCTTCTTTACCATTTTGAAGTCGTTTTCTATTTTCGATTTTTCAAAATAGTGAAAATTCGTTCTCTTTCTTATTTTCGAAACGTATTTTTGAAAACAAGTTAAAAATTTACAAAGAAAACCAAAATGACATATTTGTCATTTTGGTGTTTTCAGTTATAATCAAACTAAAATTTTTAAAACGCGTTCTGGGTGTTTTCAAAACATTTTTTCAAAATGTTAAAAAGAATATATTTTCAATAATCTCAAAATGGACACTTAAAACATAAAACACGAAATGAATTCAAAACTTAAAACACAAAACTGAAATACAAAGAGAACAACCCCTTAGTTATTTTTATTCGTGTCAGCGAGATATTCCATTTTAGGGCAAGCTTATTCGTGTATTGTCACAAATTTGAGATATTCCTTATTCGTGTCAGCCCCTACGCATCGATATTCAAAACTTAAAAAGCTTGTTCTGTATTGTCACGAATTTGAGAAATTGGCCTTTAAAAGGCCTTGTCGAAGGGTTGAGGCAGATCAATGACTCAATTTTAACCGTCTTCAAACTTTCAGAAACACATTACTAATATAATATACCTGTTTGAGCCTCATTAAAAGGTTAAAAATGTATTTTGAAATAGTTGATTGATGGAGAATGCGTGGTTAAAAAATAAAGAAAAATTTTGAATTTCCGCGTCATATTATTTTATTGAAAAATATGTAGTTGAAAAGAGGATAGAGAAAAATGAGAATCAAACAAGGATATATAATATAATATATTAATTTAACGTACTTCTGTTTGAACCCCAATTTTTTTTTTTTTAAGATGCATTTTGAAATAGTAGATTGATAGAGAATGTATGGTTAAAAAATCAGAAAAAAAATTTGGGTTTACATGTAATATTATTTTATTAAAGAATTGTAATTGAAAATAAGAAATAGAAAAATGTATTTTAGCAAAAATAAGGATCAAACTAGGACTAAGAGTCTGTTTGAGATACATTATAATCTAAAAATACATTTTAGAATAGTAGATTGATAGAGAATGTGGTTAAAAAAATAAAAAAAATTTATTTATGTATAATTTTATTTTATTTAAAAATATGTGATTGAAAAGAAGTGAGAAAAAAATGTATTTTGAGTCGGGCCCAAAAACAGGGCGCCACTCTATTGGAGGGGGTTTGGCTCCACATAGGCGTCCTATTTCTTGGCTTGGCTTTGAGCCAGGCCAAGAATAATTGTCCTATTATTAAATGTTGAACCTCAACCTTGAGGATCTCTCATCGTCTCACCCAGCCCCACTCATAGAGCATTGTGGAGGAGGTAAATCGTGGGATGTGTCTCAACAAGTCAGAATACAAAATCTGTCATACTGTTATCCACAAAGAATCCAATTTCATAATATTATTATTATGTGCGTGTGTGTGTCAGCCTAAAAATAAGCTTTGGAAGAGTCGAGGGAAAAATTGCCCAAAGAAAGGGGGAATCATTACACTAACCAAATTTACTATAGAAAATTACAAAATCGAAGAAAAATCACGAACGATACTATTTATAAAGGGACAATCTTCTGAACTTAAACCTGTACTCATATTAATAGTGCAAATCTGGACAACATCACATATTTGTAACCACGACGCATGTCAGATGGTCCCAATTAGAGTGGCATGCCTAAGAAAGAGTCGGAAAACTAGCATCTAGATCTAGTACTTCCTCGTCTTCACATAATTCTATTTTTGTTTCTAGATGAAAGCTTGTAACAACCACCTCTAGATCTACTTTCTCGTCATCACATAATTCTATTTATGTTTCCTGGAAGAAAGCTTGGAGCAACAACCATTTTGCAACTATGATCAATGCTTGTGGAGACGAAAAGTATTACCAATATCAATACTATTATTAATCATTGACACGACTTACGTCAGTGACTAACGATGAAAATTCATTGGTGATTAACGACGAAAATTCTCGTTGATGTGGTTGAAATCGCCAATGATATGAGTATCAGTGAATCATACTGAAATCAATACATATTAGTGGCTGGGTCGGAATAATCTACAGCGATAGTGCTATTGGTGGTAGCCAGCAAACTTTTTTCATGATTATTGATGACAATGTCATCTGTAATATCTTCGGGGACCATACACGGTGCTTTAGTTACCGACAGCTTCTCGTTGGTGTCACAAATGAATTTTTTCTATAATTTTATATTTTAATAAATACTAACACATAAGTTAAAATATCTTTTTTTTCCTTACGATATTACCGACTTATAAGTTCCTTTTTAAACTTTAATTTTTTTATGATGGAAATTTGGTTAGCAGTTTTATTCTAATATATACATAAACCAAACTTATTTAATTCTTGATACGCAAAATAATATTAAAAGCACGGCTCTGATACCACTTTTTAGAATAACAAAATTTAAATAAATTGTGTATCAACAAGAATATAATAATTTTAATTAAAAAAAATGAACATATAGGTGTTTAGTAATTATCTCGTGGTGTGCTTTACAAAAATTTCTTTGCATTGATCTTGTTGATTAAAACCTCAAATTACTCTTTGGTTTCTTCAAGAACTTAAAATTTATTAATTTATCATATTATTTACCATTGTTGCTGCCTTGTTTTGGCAATAATCTAATTGTGTTTAAAGATTTAATTATCATAAAGCATAACAACTATAATTAAACAAGAAAATATAATAAAGGAACAAATTTGGAAGGCTAGCTAATAGTCTATGGTAAATGTATAAATAATTTATAAATGATTGGAATTTATTTTTAATCACACAATTCAATAAACTCATAAATATTATCTTCATTACTCATTTCTATCTATTTATAAATTAAAGTATTTAGAAATTCTTCCCAAATGGAGGATCATGGGGAAAAATCAAAAGAAATATACCAAGAACTCTATATTTGCTCCTCGTAGTTGTGCCATGAAGTCGACTCTCTTCCTTAGTCACAAGGTGGCAAAGATCCTCAATAAAGTCTTTGTAGTAGTGCATTTATGAGAATCAAATTCAACACTTTGGCACAAGCGACAAATTCTTGACAACATTCGTTGCTGACGATGGTCAAAGAAAAGGTTAACCAGACACGTGACATGCTTCCAATCATTGTTTCTAGATATCATATCGATGGACAATCAGATCTTCAATCATTGAAAAACAGTACCTCTAGTGAGTGACGAAGGCTACATACACAAACAATTATGAAATTTTTTGGTTTGTTGTTTTGTCTCGGATTTCATATTAAGCCCCTGTTTGAAACCCATTTTGGGATAAATAGAAATTTTGGAATAGTGATTGATGTGAGAATGTGTGGTGGAAAAGTGATGAAAAGTTTTTGATTTGTGTGTAATATTATTTTATTAGGAGAATGTGTGGTTGAAATGAAGAATGAGAATGAGAATGAGAAATAGAAAGAGAAATTAATGGGTGTCAAACGGGGGCTAAATCATATGATCTAGTGTTTGTAGTAAAAAAGAAAAGAAAAAAGAAATGTACCCTTGCTAAAATATAAGTAAATTGATTTGTAAGTTGTAACTAATGCCATATTATCTTGAATTAAAATGTTTAGTTGTGTCTACCAATACAAATTTAGCATAGATATTGAACGATTTAACCTATATTTGATCAAGAAAAAGATTAATTTCCTTTTTAAACCAATAATTGAATCGTTATCAAATAGCTGGATAGACTTATTGGTAATAATTTTGACAATTATTAAAGCGTGTATATATATAGATAGGGTAATGTTACATAGCCCCATCGATGCTAATCTTCTCATACCAACATTGATGCAATATTCGAATTCACAAATCTCTTCATCGTGAATTGTTAGACAATTGAATTTCATTTATACCAACATGGATGCAATATTCGAATTCACAAATCTCTTCATCGTAAATTGTTAGACAATTGAATTTCATTGTTGAAGAAAAAAAATGGAATTTTGATTTTCGTTGTTGATTTAATTAGCTCTTTAATTTTTTTATTAATATTTCAGGAACAAATGTATATAGAGAAAGAACTGAAAAACGCTGCTATGGAAGAACTCAAAATATTAGCAAAAAGGAAATTTTTACATGCATCAGTTTTCGATAACAAGAAACCCTAACGGATTTATTTGATTTTTTTCCTTTCCGGATTTTATTCTAAAATTCTCAACAACAACAGCATTTTTCTACAAATTCTCGGAGATCGAATCACTCAATGCTGGTCGCTGGAGGTGGATAATTCAATTCCAGCGGGCTTGCGGCGGTGTTGTCGGTGGAGGAGGAAAATCCGCTGCTAGATTGGCACGGCGGGCAGCTCTGGGTGCTCGGCGGCGGGGTGGTGGTGGAGGAATCTCCATCTCAACCCTCTGGTGGAAGTTCCGGTGGCAGTTACACGCGGCGCACAGGACTGCTTCGGGAGTTCCGTCGACTCCGGTTGGTAAAAACTCCCCACACCCGTCAACCGCATAGCTACCAAGTGGAATAGCATGGTTTCGCATACACGCCGCGTACATCACGAGAATTACAGGTCTGCCCCTACCCCTACTACCTCTTGGTTGAGCCGCCATGGAAATTAAACGAGAGAGAGAGAGCTGAATTTATTGAAACTGTAAGTGAATGACTGTGGATGAAAAGAAGGTGAGTTATAAATAAAAGTTGGTGTCGCACTCAACAGCACACACTAACCTCTGGATGGAAGTATTACATACACATATACGTATAGAGAGAGAGAGAGAGAGGTTTGTTTGATTAAGGTGAATACAAAATCGATGTGCATGTTTCTCACTTCAGAGACTCGCCTTATTCTATTTTTTTGATACCCAGGTTTTCCGACTTACACCAGATTATGTCCTGAACCACCCATTCCCGACCCCTTCAAGGATGTGTGATTATGAAGAAAAATTAATGTGAAGGTGAAATGAGGAAATGCATGGAGAGGATATATAACAATTCATCCACTCTATTGTTCCATTGAAAGGAACTATAGACATTTCAAAGAAATTAAGAAAGATCGCGATCATCACATTGAATATGTATATGTACCTTGTAATCGTGATTACTCTACATATATATATAGGTGTCTTTCTCGCTCTCATCACAATTATTCTCGTTTTTTATGTCCTCAATTAATTACTCCACGAGTAAATTTATTGATGCGTGGTATAAATCTCACTAAAGGGTAAAATAGTCATTTAAGCAACCATGTTTTCAACAATATATTTCGTTAATTTTTATCAAAACCAAACAAGAGGTAAGCTATATCAAAATATCTTCGAAGACATGAACTCATCGAATAGGAACCAAAATTTGATATCGTCAAAATAGAATGTCTCCACATAAAAGCCATCTATCCCAAAACAATATTCTACTTACCTTTAAATTTATGTCTAAGAGTATGTTTGGTAAAGTTTAAATTATAATTTAGATTGATCAAATATATTTTTTAACTATAATTTCAAGAGATCTATGACTTATTTATCAACTTATTATCTATATAATCGTATCATCCACAAGAACTGAGATTGTGACAAACTTCAAAGATACTTTTAAAACTATAGCTAAAAGAAACTTATAACCACTCATAATATATAAAAACCATTTAAAATTTCTTTTCATACCATCACTCATTTCTATCTACTTATAAATTAAACTTTTATAAATTCTTTTCGTATAGACGCTAAGCTTTGTCAAATATGCATAAAATGTGTTTGTTGTGAAAAGAAATATGGAGTGTCCATTACGAGTCCTAAAATCTACTTATTTGCTTATAAGTAGAGTCGAACATTTTAATCAGAATCGAATCTTTTGAATTGTACCTGAATAAGATCCAGAGGTTTCGATTCGGTTAGAAGAAACAAATCAGGAACTGAAATCAAGAGTCCATCAGGTGTGGATTAATTCTTATTTCTTGAATCAGAATGTGAGTACCCTATTCTGAAATTAATTTGTCACTTTCTATTAAAAAAAAAATCAATTTCATTTTACAACGCCAACAAGTAGGAAGTTTGCAAAATCAATTTCATTTGAATAATTGAATTATATCACTTTCTTTCGCAGCCACTCTTGAGCACACTTTATGTATGCTAGCTATTCATTTCAAATCCAAGTTGTTGTTGTTGTTGTAACGATGGGTATTTATAATTTTTTTACGTTGTTCTGGAGTTGTAGATGAGACATTTATGAGAGCAGAAACAGATGATGATGCATCCAAAGTGGAGCTACGTAACGCTGAAGACGAAATGCATGTTGAAATGAACACACCTGAAATGCAGCGAAGTGAGTGTAACAGACTTCGAGATTACATGGCACAACAACAGTGACGATGTAATTTTTACAGAACACAACATTTTGCACACGTCTAGTGTTGTACAAACGTTGAAAAATAATTCAATGCACATATTGACCTTAATAATTTTTCCCTTGTACAAGGAAATTCATATCTATTTGAAGCCAATAAATTGACAATGCCGTATAACCCAGATGTACACGACTTTCGAAGTGGCCAAAATTTTACTTTCACGTGAGTTCGTACAAGTATGGGATATATGGAAATCAAGTTCTTTATTTTAATTGTCAAAGTGGAAAAGAGGGTAACGGGACAAAAATGGAAAAATGGAATAAATTCAATTTCGAACGAGAACATGATTACTGTGGCAAATAGTGTTGATGTGACTTAGAATGCATTCTTTTGAGGAAAAATGGCCACTAAACGGATAGTGAACCTTGTAACCGCGGCCAAACATTCTGCCCTGCGATAGAGTAATAGGGCCCTCTGGAGAGGGACCAGATACAATCAAATCATACATATAACACCGACCTTGATGCGATCCACCCGACACCTGAATTTCACCTTTAGATTCGTATCGTCGACGTTGGTCCACACACCCGATGAAATGAGATCTGCAGCCCGATTATTATCTCCTTTCGCCGCCATTATCCTCTTCTTCTCGCCGGTGCTCGCCTCCGAGTCCGATCACAAGGTAATCTACACTCTCGATCTGTTTCATAAAAAAAATCCCTATCTTTAGGCGGCTTCTCTCTTCAACAATTCTTCAGATCTGATTCAAGATATTTTAATCGTGAAGATTATTGTTTACTATTAGTGCTGATTGAGTAACATTCTGCGGACGATTCGATTTGTAGCTCATCCAATGTAAATGATGGTTCCTTAATTGAAAATTATATTATGGCCACCATTATTGGGTTGATCACAATTTTCAAGTATTTACAAATATTTCGCGCTTTCTTTCTTCAAACCCTATCATAGCATTTACATATTAATTTTATTTTTTGTTTTTTTGCATGGGAGGTGCAAGTATTTTTGTTTGATCAGTATTAGATCAATAGAAGTATGAATTTCTTATTTTTTTTTTCCTTCAATTTTTCTTGAAAGAATTTTACTTCATTTCATATTTTTATTTTTATTTTCTTGGTGGGGGGTTGGGGTGGGGAGTGGTGTTGGTGGAGTGGTTATTAAGGATTTGGCACAGGGACTGTTGCTAGGAGATGACGGTATGAATGAGTATCAAAATGTGCTCTAGCTTTTGGAACGCATAAAGGCAGATGTTAACAGAATGCTAGTCCATCTGGACTGTCTGGTGCTGTATACTTTTGCCGGGAGATATATGCAAAGATTTAGTGGCAATTCTCGTAAAACAGAAATGCTGCTTCAAGAGAAATATAGAATGAGTCACGTTTCAATTCCAAAATAAGCTGAAAACGAGGAATATCTAAACCACTTGCTTAACTGCTACTGAGGTTGTTGGTTGTACAGTGCCATTGAAGTAAGATTTCTTCCCCAATGTGACAAAATAAAATCCCGAAGCCAGATTCGGCATGAATGTCGAGTTGACGGCAGTGTAATTTCATAAATGTAACACATCAATGGGTGTAATTTTCGGATGGTAAATATTTTTAAAAGGTAATTATCTCGATGTAACTAAAATGGTTTGACAATCATTTGATCTTTGGACAGCAAAAGAAAATTTAACAATGAATTATGCAGCAAGTGTTTTCCACAACAATAATAATAAACTAAGTCTATTCCCAATATACTTTTTCGATCCATGAATACATTTACTGTCCAATCCATTGCAATCAAATCCTTGGCGACCACATTAGGCCAAGTTATTTTGGTCTGCGTATCCCTCTTATAATCTATTCTACTATGATCTCATCGTGCTTGTTAAGGGAGCTACTTAAGGTCTACACGTTGCAGCTACGTCCCCGAGAGAAAAAGAGATCAGCTTGTTAAGGGAGGTAGGGAGCTACTTAAGGTCTACATGCTGCAGCTACGTCCATGAAAGAAAAATAAGGCTCTGTTTCAATCTTACTCATAAAGAAAACACAAAAGAGACCTTTTCCAATGTTCGGTCTGCGTTAACATATTTCTACAAAACTAGGAGATTTTTTTCCCAATGCGTACTTATTAGCAACGCTGTGTTACATGTGCTTCTTCTTCATGCAAAAATAATCTTTCGGGGGTTTTATTTCCATCTGTTGTTGATATTTCCTATTGCAGTGTGCTTAACCCACATTGAAAAAGTTACAATACTTTACTAGCTAAAAGTGCTTTCTAACACACCCTTTTCCTTTCTCCTGCAGTATCAACCGGATGAGCCAGTCACCTTGTGGGTGAATAAAGTAGGGCCGTACAATAACCCACAAGAAACATACAATTACTATAGCCTTCCCTTTTGTCATTCAGCGTTTAATGCTGCTCACAAATGGGGCGGTCTTGGTGAGGTATTGGGTGGAAATGAGCTTATTGATAGTCTGATTGACATAAAATTCCAAAGTACGTGTATGTGGATCTCTGAACTCATGCCTAGTGTTGTGTTTCTCTACAATGACATTCATTATTTTTCTTTTTGGCAGAACCTGTGGATAAGACTACCATTTGTGAGCTTGAGCTTGATGAAGCAAAAGTCAAACAATTTAAGGATGCCATCGAGAATAATTACTGGTTTGAATTCTTCATGGGTATGTTACATGATTATTCTTCCATTTATCTTTTGTATGATGATGTATAAAGTTAAAGTCTCTTAGAAATAAGAAATTTTGTATAACTGATATGTAAACCATGATATTATAACCTGTATTGCCTTTTCTCATCAGGTGCAATTAATTTTATGCAATCAAAACCATTAAGTTTTGGGTGAAGTCTCAATTTCGCTTCTAGATTAGGAATTTTTTATGTTCACAAATGCAAGCAAAAGCTTGAACTGAGGATTTTATCTGGTTTAATTATTTATTTTATTCAGCGTACGATAAATTTTGGAAGATATTGTGCAAACCTCTGAAAATTTATGAATTGGATCTCAGTTTTCTTTTTCCGTAGTAATTGGAGGACTTCACTAGTTATTGGCATGAGTTCCAAGTTAAAAGTCCATCACATGGATGGACTTTACAGAAACCGACTTTAGTAGAAATGCTTGCGTATTGTTTTGAATATTTTTCGAGCTTGCTTTGACTTTTGAGAAGTGCTTTGGAATTGAAGATATTTTCTTGCTAGAATTTTCGGGAAGTTAAAATTCAGAACTCACCAAAGTTGCCTTCTTTTAACATTCTTTTCAAAATGAGTCCTAGAATTCCATCCACAATGATTACAAAAAGTTCATGATTTTTGCATTGGACTTTTAAGAGCCATAGGTTGGCAAGACAATTATCATATTTTACTGGTTTATTATTGGATAACTTAACCAAAATCATGTAGAGATCTAGTTAACTTTATCCTAGACTAATGAAGTGGTCGAACTCTTTGTGCTTCTCTGCCGGCTTGTTGATCATTAAGATGGATTGGCAGTTGCTGATATTTGACCTTTTTCCCTTAAAAATTGGTTTTAACTTAACAACACACGCGCATGCATGAGCTAGGAGGTGACTGTTAGTATGTTTGCTTGTCGTTGCTTTCAGGTTCTTTTAATTTGCTTTCAGGATTCCATTGTATATAAGCTATCTAATTCCTAATCTCATCTTTGTTTCTTTCTGGTGTGCTGGCTACAAGTTCAGATGATCTGCCTTTATGGGGTATGCCTTCCTTGAACTATTGTCACAGATATATTACTCTATGCCGACCTATGTTTTGAATTGATACATTGTTTTTGCAGGTTTTGTTGGTGAGATGCATCCCGACAGGAATATTGACAACAAGCTTGTGCTCTACACGCATAAGGGCATCACTGTGAAATACAACAAAGACAGAGTCCGTGGCTGTTCAGGGTTGTCTGTTATTTTTTTTGTTTTAGTTTAGTTCTTTTGCTGCTAACTTCTTTGCCATGTAGATCATTCATGTCAACCTTACCCAAGACAGCCCAATACTGTTGGAAGTGGGAACAACGTTGGACATGACATATTCAGTGAAATGGATTCCTACAGACATCTCTTTTGCTCGTCGTTTTGATGTTTACCTGGACCACCCATTTTTTGAGCATCAGGTAAATATTTACATTCTCATTTGATATCATTAAGAAAATAGAATTCAATGGAGGTTCTAAACTGATGTTAAGAGTGCTTTAGCTGGTTTCTTTATTTTTTGGCATTTCATAAGAACCTCAGCCCTTCTGCTATGATATATATATATATTTGATTTTGTTGCTTAAATGGATGCAATTATCTCCAGGGCACAAATGGAACTGGTGGCCTTTTACTGTCTTATATCAATTGTTCATTATCAGGTATTATGTCATGACTTACCTTCTGCATCTTGCAGATTCATTGGTTCTCGATTTTCAATTCCTTCATGATGGTTATATTCCTTACTGGGCTGGTGTCTATGATATTGATGCGCACTTTACGAAATGATTATGCTAAATACGCCCGTGATGATGATGATCTAGAAGCCCTGGTAATGATCTTATCATCAAACACTTAAGGATCTCTTAACTGCATTTGCTAATGATCATTTAAACTTAAATCTTTAGGAGAGAGATGTCAGTGAAGAGTCTGGTTGGAAACTTGTTCATGGAGACGTGTTTCGGCCTCCCCGGAGTTTAGTTTTGCTCTCTGCTCTTGTTGGCACTGGCGCACAATTAGCATTGCTAGTCCTCCTTGTTGTCTTATATGCTATTGTTGGAATGTTGTATATCGGGTATGTGAAGGATGCAACTCTTTGCTGAAATACTTGAAATTTGTAAGCAGTTATCTTAGTTCCTCACAACTCATTAAAGTGCACTTCTTGTCCCTTAGCCCCTCTTAGTGAGCAAATTCATTTTGGTTGACATTTATGGATATAACATGCCAGATTAAGGATAATTGTTTCAGTAGGCAGATCTAGAAATTTATTTGTGTTTACACCATCTCATTTGTGTCGGCCACGAAATTTGTGATGTTAACTATTATGTTTTTGGTTTTCACATTGTTCAGGAGAGGAGCTATTGTCACAACTTTCATAATATGTTATGCTTTCACATCATTCATCTCAGGCAATGTTAGTGGTGGAATGTATGCACGCCATGGTGGTATGTACAGCTTGTGCCCACCTTCACCTGTTTTATGGGACTCATCTTTTTTTGCCAATTGTCATGTTTATGCTTGTTTAATTCTCGTGTTGTTTCCTCTGCACTATTTATGCTAATTTGCCCATCTTTGTTGCAGGTAAAAACTGGGTTAAATCAATGATCCTCACTGCTTCACTTTTCCCTTTCCTGTGCTTTGGGATCGGCTTCATTCTGAACACAATTGCCATATTCTATGGGTCTCTAGCAGCCATACCCTTCGGCACGATGGTCGTGGTCTTTGTCATCTGGGCATTTATCTCTTTCCCATTGGCATTTCTCGGTACAGTTATTGGAAGAAACTGGAGTGGTGCTCCCAACAATCCGTGCCGTGTAAAGACCATTCCGCGGCTGATACCTGAGAAGAAGTGGTACCTGACACCTTCCGTGATCTCTATGATGGGAGGATTGCTTCCCTTTGGCAGCATATTCATTGAGATGTATTTTGTTTTCACTTCATTCTGGAACTACAAGGTAATGAAGGATTTAAATGAATTTATCTGAGATGAAAATGACAAAAAGAAGAAAAAGAAAATGGAAATATAATCTGAAAGGGAAATCAGTTAAGTTCATACTTTTTTTGGTTAAATTCTCCTTGCTGTTGCGTCATGTTGGCAGGTCTACTACGTATATGGCTTTCTGCTTCTGGTTTTCCTGATTCTGATTATTGTTACGGTCTGTGTGACAATTGTGGCAACATATTTCCTTCTAAATGCCGAGAATTATCACTGGCAATGGACTTCGTTCTTGTCTGCGGCCTCGATAACCGTCTATGTTTACTTGTACTCGATATATTACTACTACGCAAAGACAAAGATGTCAGGGTTCTTCCAGACTAGCTTTTACTTTGGGTACACACTGATGTTTTGTCTTGGCTTAGGGATTCTTTGTGGTGAGTATGAAGTGCAATCAGTTTATTCCTATAAGCTTTTCTTTTGCTGCCTTTCTTCTGTCCCAATAAACTTATTAACCAGTCACTTGTGAATATGAATTTGTTCGTTGATTTTGTTTCCTAGACAATAGGTATTATTCAGAAGTTATAAGCATGCCATTCATGAAATTCTTCTTACCAGGGTTGTTTCTCATTGATTTTCAGGTGCTGTTGGTTTCTTGGGCTCTAATCTGTTTGTAAGGAGGATTTACCGAAACATCAAATGTGACTAGTTTTTTTTTTTTTAATCAACTGTTGTAGCTTCTTCACACAATTTGATACGAATTCAAGAGAAGCCTATATTGGATCCTTGACAAATGTTTACGGGGTTTGAGGATGACACGTGACTCGTATTTGTAGGGAGGCCCAGAAAATTTTCCCCATTTTTCCGGGTTGTAAGACCATAGTCTACTTACATAAGTTGGAATCTAGTGATTGTTTTATAATTGGAAAAGCTAGCACGATGTTTTATATTCATGTAGTTATTTCTCACATTTATAGCGGATTTTGAATTGGAAATTTTCTTTTGTTCATTTTGTTCTGCTAGTAGCTTGTCATTTGGATAAACGAATTGTTATAGGATAATACAGCTATTTGAAATACCGAGTTGCAAATTATCTCATTCAGTAGTAGGAGCAAAGTTTACCAGATTGATTACCTTGGTGTTCGAGTCTCCTTTTGGGGGAGGGCTGAAATTCATTGATCGTATTTGAAAAAAAATAAAAGTTTTGCAAATTACGTAAGAATTGTTAACGAAAGTGAGATAGAGCACACGAAAATATTTTTTCTTTATTATTTGAACGTGGATTAACAGTCTTACGAAGCTGGCCGAGTCCCAGATTGCAAAGATGTTCATGCTGACAAATAAATTTTTGAATCCATTAAGGTTAATGTTAAATGTTCTACGTACGTTGATGTAAGAAGGAAAGAAGACGTATGACAGATTCATGTCTTCTGAAACAACTCAAGAAGTGTCTCAGTCTTGTCCTCGTCTACGCCATTCACTTCGTCATCTTCAACATTGGCCGGGTGTTCAGACGAACACTGCATATCTCTGAAGGAAAATTCATGTTCAATTGGAATTGAATCTTCAACAACGCATTCTTGATGTCCATTTGGTAACTCGTTCGTTTCAAGGTTGGTCAATGAGTTTGAGGAGGAACATGGAGATAAAGTACCAGATGCAACTGTAATGGTCTCGTCCCCCTCATCTATTGTTGATTCAAGAGAACATGTGGACCTTGTAGTAATTGAATTAGTAGTTTTGGACCTTTCCTTTACTCTCTTACACCAACTGTGTAGCGACTCTCGAACACTTTCCGCAATCAAGGCTTTATTACAGCGTGATCCCATCTAATAACAGAGGACAAGAAGAAAAAAGTGACGCGATTTAGATAGAATTTTCCAATATTCAGCTATTACTCAAAGCTATAGTATTGAATAATTCAAAAAAATTGCACTAGTTGCTAACCTGCGTGATGATTACATTAAGAGGGACAGTGCCATAGCTACACCAAAATTGAACAAGAACCCTGCATGTAATAAAAATTAAAAAGAGGTTATTATCCAGGAGTCCTTTTATGAATGGTTGGGGTTAAATTGCATTACTGTTCCCCAACTTCTTGTCTAATAACAAGATAGTACCCAACCTTTCTTGATAGATGCACCCATTGACGGATACTATTCAAATCTTCATTGTCACGTGACCTTCGTGAAAAACATGGATCACTTCAAAATTTTACACATCAGCCCAAATTGTAAAGCATAATTTAGCTTCATATAGTTGCAAGGATCGCGTGACAATTTTACGGAGATTTAGACGATTTCTATCAGAATGAGTGTGCAACTTTTTTGAAAGATTGGGGTCCAACTTGCTATTTAGTCAATACTACAACTTTCTCTACATGTTATGATCCAACAGAATATGATGTTTCTCCTACAAAGTTTTCTTTAAGCAACTGTTCCTTTGTAAACGTCTACATTTGGAAGGACTCCAACTATGTTACGACCTATTGAATCAAAAACAGGGTTTAAGATGTCCTCACGTTTGGATGAACATGGTCTTATTACAATAAAAACAGTGTTCTATTTGTATCTGGGAAGGTTGAAAAAAACGTACCCACAAATCAGCCGAACGATGATCATTGCATGATTTTCCATCAAACATGAGCGATGCTTGAATCCCCACTACACACATGAAAATGAAGCACACTTTACATGCTAACTTCATGTAAAATGAAGACAAAGCAACAAAGATTTTCAAATTCACAAAAATATCAGTTATTTGATGTTACTATCGTTACGAGTAGAAAAGTCCTATGTAGTCAGTGATTGTTGTTTGCTACACAATAATGGACCAACGTGCATTACAATTAAGGCTATGTTGGAGTCCCATTTTTTGGGAAATAGATTTTGTAATAGTGATTTTTTTGGAGAATGTGTGATTAAAATATAGGCAAAAAAAATTTAGGTTTTCGTATACAATTATTTTATTGGGAGAATTTATGATTGAAAATGAATTTTAAAGAATGAGACTCAAACATGGGCTACGTAGATTTAGCTTATTTTTCTTCTTTGATACTGTAACGAGCTGGGCCCATGCCCAAACCGTTAACTTATACGTGCCGTCCTCCAGGATTTCTATCACACTTTTCAGAATTCGGACCCATGACATCTACCTTATAAAACACTTGAATTGAATTTTGGTATCAATTGTGCCCAAAGCGGACGCACGTATAAGTGAACGGCTTGGGCACAGGCCAGGTCATTACATCCCTTTTCCAACAGACTGTTTAGTTCCAGGTAGTTTATTGCGGAGATAACCATTTTTACCAGGAACTGAAACTGAAAATTTGAGGTCCCCTGGCACATGAGATTTACATGGCAAAGAATCAGAAAACAATGGCAAATGAGGAAAAGAAAGAGAAGGTTCTTTTTACCCAGGACCAGATAAATGTTGCCATCTCAAAAGCATTCTGCATAAAGTAACAGGTTTTATAAGAACAAAGAATTAAACAAATGAGCATAAGAGACCTTGATGTTGGAAAAAGCGCGTATATGCATCACCTGAAATGATATGAATTGAATCAATCGCAATAATATTTCAGGTTTCCCGAACCAAAATAGATCATCACGTGGCTTTACTTGAGCTCCGATAGAAGGCCCCTGTGGTTCAACAATTTCAAGTGCTAACAAGGAGACAACATGCTGGAGCTTCGTCCCCACCAACATGACAAGCTTCATCGTGTTGAATGATGAACATCAGAAACATAAAACAATGGAATTAAGGTTGTCTCAGTAACGACAAGGAAACTTGGAAAGACTTACAATGGCGGGTATAAATGACAGCCAAAAGTAAATATTAAGACCTGCAGAGCAAGAAATATTCAGGTTCGGAACCAGCATTCCAATAGTTTGCATTCTTGTTGTGATATAAATTGTTACCATGAATGTTTATGAAGATGCATAGTATGGCATAACCCCAAAGCGGCCAGCTGCATAATCCGAAAAATAGTGAAATTCAAACTTCTATACTGTTTTAAATGTGACGAACACACTTTAAACAAACCTATAAATGTGCACAACTAACTTTTATATCGACTATGTTCAATGCATTGCTAGGTTTGTTTAAACTACAGCGCTCACAATTTAAAACAGCAAATGAATAGCATCTGTGCTAAAAAATTGCATTACCTGATCCCGACAATTCCATAGAATTCGTCTTCCATACTGCGCACCATATATTTATGAAAATTATAGGACAGTGGCAACTTGTGATTCTGCAATTTCCATGGAACCATTTCATTTGGAATTGCAGTTCCATTGTGGATTTGTTTCCCAATACTTAGTTGTATAGCAATAACAGAATATACAGTTTCAAAGATGAATACCCACAGTGATGAAACCCAATCGCAATGCCAAATAATCTGACTTCCGCACTGAATGCCTAAATTGCTTTAAGAAGCAAAGCTGTAAAGGAGGCCGCAAAATAAACTTCAGCAAATGATAATCCATCAAGAGGGTCGGACGGAAAATATAGTTAGGACATACTGATGATTGAAACAATGAGTAAGGTCTTTAAGGCCAAAGAAGATTATTATTACTGTGCAGCTCTTCTAACTCCAATGTGAAAAATCAAGTAGACAACACAAACGGAACGAAGGACAAAACAAGAAATGGAGAGAGAGTCGAGTTTGTATTAAATTTCTCCAAAACAAAATTTTGGGAAAATAAAAATCATGGGAGTAACTTTTCACTAAGAAAATACTTCGCTTAATTCTTCTCGTGTTTGTTTAAACTAATATAGACCATTCTCATAGTAACATTTTAGTTGTTAATGATATAATCATAATAATAGGAAGAACTATTACCATCCAGATGAGAACACGGTTCCTACTCCACGGATGTGATGCATGATGCAAAGCAAAGGTTGATTGCCGCCTCATCACTCTGTTCTTTGCTGTGATGAAACAAAATCAGGAACCAACGTTTCACAGTTAAGGAGTGTAGCACATTGAGAACTAAATGTGCAAGTTTGTACATAAAAGCAATCAACTTAAATTTTTCTAAATCCCCTTATCTAAAAGTTTAAGCTATTGGAGAAGGTTAAATGCATATAATTCAAATCTCATCTAAAACTTTTGCGTGTTGCGATACCATCTTGAACCACCTGATCTCTTGATCTGATCTAAAAGCTTAAGTTACTAGATCCCTATGTATATCATTTCAATCTTGTTTTCAACAAAATTGATTAGCAAATGTGCGGAATAAATAATAGAGGGAAACTAGAGAAACGAGTTTTAACAATTTTTTTTCCTTAAATAAGATTGAAATTCATTAATCTAGAAACAAAAGTACAGAAAACGAAGAGGGTTAGGCGTGATCTCCAGTTAATAAAAACCAGTTCTTCAACAATGACATTTATATTTCTAAAACTGCGCACTTCAATATTTGAAGAAAATTTCAAAATCATAATAATGATTTCACTCACCTTGGGCATTCCCATCACCCACAAACATTACTTGAGTTTCCCACTTTCTCCAGCTGTATATCTACAACCACGTGCATGTGACAAATAATTGCCCAAATCTCATTGTTGAATAAACAAACTTCAAGTGTAATCTTTAGCAAATGGATACGAAAACTGTACCTTGCTCATAGATAATGCTACGGTTAAACAACTATACAGAACATGAGTACATCCAAGAACAAACAAGAAGCGGTGAAGTTGTTCAAGACCTTCAGCAGAAACAAAAGGTTCACGCCCCTGAAGTTACGAATATATACTCAAGTAAGAAGCCCTTACAGTAAAACCCAGTAAAATGCATTGAGGGAATGTATTGTGTACCTCACCGCATGCATGAGATGCTGCATAGTTAATTCCTTTTGGAGGAATATCGGTTTTATTTGAAAAGTTAGAACCTTCAGTGGACAACATTCTCTTCATCACACCATAGTCATCTTCAGAACAAATGAAGAATCTACTGTTAAAAAGGGAGGAATTCACACAAATTTGAGAAATCCACCTTGTCCATTGCCCCAGTAACAATGAAATAAGCCCAAGCAGCATCAACTCTGCCTCAAAACAAAACAATAGAATATAAAAGAAACGATAAATTGTTTTTTGACAAGTGAAAAATTTTCAATTCACAGTTCACATAGTATAAGCCAATGAGATAAAAACCAAATCAACTAAACCCCTCAACCCTATTTATGCAAACAGGGCAATACAAATAAGCAAGTTAATAAATTCAGTGGATAGTACGTTATGCATCAAATTTTGTACCTTCCTTAATCTTCTCCAGAGAAGCATAAAGAGCTTTCCTTTTTGTCTTCTTCAACCACTGAATCACAAGCACAAAAACAATGAAAAAAACTGCAAAAAGGGACAAAAATAAATCAGTTCAAGAAACTAACTCACTGACTCGTTTAACTCACCTTTCCAAATCTGTAAATGGATCTTTCAACAGATAAACATACAAAAACCATTACAGTAGTGACTGTAGCAACAGACCATGTTGGAGTTTCCTCTAAAGACCTCCCTTCCCTTATCTCCGCCATTTTCTCACTGCACAAAATACAAATGGGCTCTTCTGCT